AACCTTGCTTAGAAAACACCAAGAGAAAAGGCACGCAATTCTATTTTAAACTTCTTGATGTTTCTAGCCCTCGCCACAGGTAAGGGAGTGACAAATGTATACTCCTAACAAGATGTTGTAATTCTTTACATTATATGCTTCACATTTTCATACATAAGAAGAAAAAACATTACTTAATTTGCAAATAAATATTACAGACACCTAGAAAATAAAGAAACCTGTACCTGTTTTTTACAATGGTAATGTAGAGGCAAAACGCATGTCGTTTCATTACCTGGGAAAACAGTCAGCACTAGTAATATGCTCAGATGATTACTGACCTGGTTTCACCAAGTTGGTCTCACCATGTTGGTCTTACCATGTTGGTTTCACCATGTTGGTCTCACCATGTTGGTCTCACCATGTTGGTTTCACCATGTTGGTCTCACCAAGTTGGTCTCACCACATATTGTACATACCAGTGCCACACTACAGATTTCAGCACTGATCATCTAGTCAGTATAAAATATCTAGTTGGCTAAGGTTAATACTTTATATACTGTATATTTAACTATTTATATGCCTATTAACCTAACTTCTTTCAAACTAAAGTGGTGGATAAAGATTTAAAATCTTTAGCCAAAACAAATAAAAATGTCCTTTCTACTTATTACCAACACAACCGCTTGCGGTCCTAGTCTAATACAATCTACATTACCCCAAAACAGAGACTTTTGGTATTGAACTTTTTTTTTACTCTTAAATTCATACTCTTCTCAGTTTTTCATAAGATCAATTCTTATACATTCCCAAAATGCTTTTCCTAACATTAAGTTTAATCACGTTAACATGAGAAAGTTCAGCAGTTAATTATATAATTACACAATACTGTATATGTTAAGTTTGACTAAAAAATTTATAGATACCAAAGGAAAATTTTGATTTAAGAGCTTTCATTAGTCATCATACAAGGCAACTCATATTATTGTAAGGATATTCAATGGTATTAAATATTGAAACTAGAAAAGTTATGTTAAATATTGTAAAAAGGCATCATATTTTAAATTACATTTTGTAACAATATAAATACTCAATGAAAACTATAATTTTTGTCATTAATATGGGCTTGTGACATTCTTATATCCTCATATATCAGGGACTTTTGCATGGGACAACTACAAACCAGATGCTGTGCATTCTATACACTTTCCAAGTTCATCCAAGACCCTAACTAAGACATGAAGAGTGAAACGTGTCCATTTAGTGGAAGAAACATATTACATGCAGTAACTACTTGCCCAATATCATATGGCACAAAAATATCCCACACGTTTAAATGTTTCCCGACCCTACTGAACACTACTTAAAGGCAGGGTATGAACACATTGTGTTATATGTCGCATCTCATCAAGTAGAAAAACCCACGCTTCAAGTGATACTCTATCACACATCAAGTAATTAAAAATCCTGACAATTTCCTTTTTTTTTTTTTTTTTGCCTAATTCACACTAATTTTTCAAAATCACGAAATAAGTACTGTAACGTCTAAAAGCAAATCTCCCCTTAAATAACAATCATATTTCATGTCTGGCTCTTGCAAAAGTTGTATACATCCTTGACTTCCATCCATCTCAAGACTATTTTCATGCTGCTGGTGTGGGACATGAATGTCAAATCTTTTCTTCAAAATAATTCCAAGTGAATAACCAGGAATAACTGAGAAACCAGTCCCCAGCTCATCTTACACATTCGAAACAAAGAAACTGTAAAGGTTACCACAAAAATACAATAGAGGGCACCAGTATACAAAATTAATTTGTGGATTAAATCCACTGAAACTTGTACTTCCATCAAAGTTCCAGGTAGCACTTGCAGGAAATTACAGTGAAACCTCAGTTTTTGAATGCCGCCGTTTTCAAATTTTTTGGTTCTCGAGCTCAATTTCTTCTAAAAATTTGACTCGGTTTTCGAGTACTCGAGTTTGTTGATACACTTATGGGCCGACCGAGCATATGGCACGCTTCAGTTTACCAGTGTCTCCCTCCTAGTGATGACTGCACTTGAATTCTTTGTGAAGAATTTCATTATTTTCGTGCTTTTTTGGTTTCTGAACATTAAAGCACGAAAATTATATATCAAGCCATGGGTTCCAAGAAAATCAGTGGTAAAGTTCAACCTAAGAAAATAATTGTGAGGATGATGATAGAGGAAAAATAAGAGATCATTCATAGTGAGACAATGTGATGTCTCACTACAGACAAGTGTTTTAAACGAAGGGATAAAACAAGTGTCTATAGACAGATTCTTAGTAAGACATACAAGCAGTGAGCCATAACCAGGTCCTAGTTGTATGCCTGCAAAACATAAGAGAGAATACCCCAGAAATGTCATCACTGTTGTTATAAAGGATAGGGACCCTTCAAACATTAACACCTCTCTGCCTCCCCCTGGCCTCACTGTCTTCCATACTCCAACAAGAGTCCTCAAAAAAGATATACGTGTACATACTGTAGTACAAAATATTAGTAGTAGTAGTATGTTTAAAATGTATTTTTAAGTTAATATTTTTGGAAGTGTGGAATGGATTAATTCAATTTACATTATTTCTTATGACAGAAAATTCATTTCGGTTTTCGAACCGTCTCTGGGAACGGATTAAATTAAAAAACTGAGGTACCACTGTATGTCCTTCTCGCCAGGGTTCAACAAGCTGATGGTACATGAAAAAGACCGACAGCGAGCCTTATTGTGCTTGTTACTCATCACTCGGTTATTACTCAACAGCAGCACGGTGAGAGATACAATGAGAATGACTGAGAGGTAGAGAAGTGAGAACGATTGAGAGGTAGAAAAATGAGAATGATTGGGAGGCAGAGAAGTGAGAATGAATGAAAGATAAAGAAGTAAGAATGACTAAGAAGTAGTGAAATGAAAATAACTAAGAGGTAGAGAAGTAAGAAAGACTGAGACGTGTGTGTGTGTGGTTATGAGATAAAATGCAACATCATAATTTTATTCTCTCTATCCACTCACACCGCAGGAAAGTATGATAGGCAGGAAAAATATTCGTTACTGAAACCTTGAAATATTTTCCCTCTAAAAATCCTGAGTAATCATAATATATATATACTGTGTACATAATGTATATGTCTGTATGTATATGCATATTATATATATATATATATATATATATATATATATATATATATATATATATATATATATATATATATATATATATATATATATATATATATATATATATATATATATATATATATATATATATATATATATATATATATATATATATATATATATATATATATATATATATATATATATATATATATATATATATATATATATATATATATATATATACACACACATATACATACAAAAAGAATAGGGATGGTAGGAGAAGAGAATATTTAAGTGTTCATTGAAAATCCGCAAGGTCTTCTCTGAATACATTATTTTCTTCTCTGAGGCTAATGGGTCCCTACACTTGCACCAGAGGTGGTACCCTCACAACTTATATATATATATATTATATATATATATATATATATATATATATATATATATATATATATATATATATATATATATATATATATATATATATATATATGTCGTACCTAGTAGCCAGAAGGCAGTTCTTGGACTACTATGCAAGGCCCGACTTGCATAATAGGCCAAATTTTCCAGAATTTCAATATTTTTCTCATTTTTTTCTTATGAAATGATAAAGTTATTCATTTCATTATGTATGAGCTAATTTTTTTTTAAATTTTAGTTAAAACTAACGTAGATATATGACCAAACCTAACCAACCCTACCTAACCTAACCTATTTTAATCTAACCTAAACTAACATAACTAAAACAATAATTTATGTTCTTAATATAATATAATAATAATATTTAAAATAAACCAATAGGAAACAATTTATTGAAAATAAAGAAAATCACTCGGCCTATTAGGCAAATCGGACCTTGCATGGCAGGCCGAGAAGTGCATTCTGGCTACTAGGTACGACATATATATTATTATATATATATATATATATATATATATATATATATATATATATATATATATATATATATATATATATATATATATATATATATATATTATATATATATGTCGTACCTAGTAGCCAGAACGCACTTCTCAGCCTACTATGCAAGGCCCGATTTGCCTAATAAGCCAAGTTTTCATGAAATAATGTTTTTTCGACTACCTAACCTACCTAACCTAACCTAACCTAACTTTCTCGGCTACCTAACCTAACCTAACCTATAAAGATAGGTTAGGTTAGGTTAGGTAGGGTTGGTTAGGTTCGGTCATATTTCTACGTTGATTTTAACTCCAATTAAAAAAAATTGACCTCATACATAATGAAATGGGTAGCTTTATCATTTCATAAGAAAAAAATTAGAGAAAATATATTAATTCAGGAAAACTTGGCTTATTAGGCAAATCGGGCCTTGCATAGTAGGCTGAGAAGTGCGTTCTGGCTACTAGGTACGACATATATATATATATATGTCGTACCTAGTAGCCAGAATGCACTTCTCAGCCTACTATGCAAGACCCGATTTGCCTAATAAGCCAAGTTTTCATGATTTAATTGTTTTTCGACTACCTAACCTACCTAACCTAACCTAACCTAACTTTTTCGGCTACCTAACCTAACCTAACCGATAAAGATAGGTTAGGTGAGGTTAGGTAGGGTTGGTTAGGTGAGGTCATATATCTACGTTAATTTTAACTCCAATAAAAAAAATTGACCTCATACATAATGAAATGGGTAGCTTTATCATTTCATAAGAAAAAAATTAGAGAAAATTTATTAATTCAGGAAAACTTGGCTTATTAGGCAAATCAGGCCTTGCATAGTAGGCTGAGAAGTGCGTTCTGGCTACTAGGTACGACATATATATATATATATATATATATATATATATATATATATATATATATATATATATATATATATATATATATATATATATATATATATAATTTCTAAAAAATTAAATAATTAGATTACTATGCATAAGTTAATCACTTGATATTGAGCACAAATTCTGAAAAGTCACTTAAGTTAACAAACTTAATACTAGTCAGATCACATGAGAAAGTTTACCTAAGACTCTCATATGTAACTTAATTTTATAATTCAGCATAAATTTAGAAGATAAATTTACAACATTTAGGATGCCTCCAATTAAAAAAAGTTATCCGACTAGTATTTTAAACAGAATTCCAATTTATTTTCAGCTTCATTTCATCACACATTAATGGAATTACTGACGACTACCACCATAACCATCTTCTTCCTTCTGAATGCATCACCTGTTGATGAATCAATCAGGAAACGATTTTAATCTTGATGGCTATGGCCATTCCACTGGGAAACTGTCACGGCTTCACTGCGGGTCCGTCTGTGTATGCTAGTATGATGCCTCAGTCCATTTTGGTTATTTAAACAATCATCCTGGCTGCTCAATGCTTCTTGACTCATTATTCGTTGATCATAAGCACTAATGGTAACATCAGTTTCAAGATTATCCTTTACCTGCAAAAAAACAGCGTTGAATGTAAAGAAACGCCATTTTCTGGGTAAGTGGTTCCCAGTAACTCTATAGGACTGAAGCCCCAGACTAATATAGCTAATATCAGTCCAATACCTCCAGGGAGCTGACGGGGCTCCCCCTCAGAAAAAGTATTGCATTTCAGAGTTTTTATAGATGTAATTCATTGTGTTATTGTATTGGGGACAGGCAACCAGTGTATATATATGTGTTAGGCTATTGAGGTCACCCCCCTATGGTCGAACTACTGACCTTCCCAAGTATGCAATTGCAAAACAAGCTGAACTAACTCCTAGATACCCATTTACTTCTAAGTGAACAGATACATTAGGCGATAGGAAACGCACCCAGCCATTTCTGTCCTGCCCAGGATTCGATTCTGGAATTCCCAACTGTGTGTTGAGAATAAACTCCTCTGCAGTGACTTAATATTTAACATGCTGTATTCAAGAATTTCAGTAAGGGTGCTGAATGCTATCTCGGATTGGAGTTTATAATTGTTCTAACTGCTGATTTATGTTGAGCTCCCTTAGTTCCATAAATCAATAAAGAGTTTGCAAGTTGAACACACATGGACAAAACTAAATACATCTCCCTTACAAATAAACTAAAAGTTTTAACCATACATGGCAAGTCCCCTACTGTTACCAAATTTAACAAGAACAGTATAAACAAATTAACAAACTACCAGAACAAGCACAGAATGGAAATCTTATCCAATGTCCTTACCTTTGTGGGAGGAAATTTTGTTATGAAAAAATTTGCAACAACACAGAAGGTCTTGCTAACCAGAGGCACACATAATGACTGATGAAACATGGCAGCAATTCGGTAATTTGGGCCATAGAAAGGATCACTAATGGCTGGACACAGCATGTTGTTTAAATTAACCTGAGAAGTCTGCAAAGACAATGAATAATTAATTAAAGTGTTTACCCATTTGGTATGAACAATTATATACTACTGTACATAACAAGATACTCTGAAGGAATACAAACTATTATAGATTTGACGCACATGAAAATAAGGAGCAAACAATATACGTAATACAACTTTTTTTTTATACATACAAGAGTTCTTACATTCTTGTACAGCCACTGGTACACGTAGCGTTTCGGGCAAGTCCTTAATCCTATGTTCCCTAGAATACGACCCCTCAAACAACAGTTTAACAACCAAGTACCCATTTTACTGTTGAGTTAAACAGAGGCTACAGTTAAGGATTTGCGCCCAGTAAATCCTCCCCGGCCAAGATATGAACCCAGGACAAAGCGCTCGCGGAACACCAGGTGAGCGTCTTAACCACTACACCACGGGGACTGTAAATATACACACAGTAACTAGAGTGATAATTATGACCTATGTTCAAGTGCCTACACTAAGTATTAGAGATAAAGGATATCAGAAGGTATACCCATACCGTCTGATGTATGACTGAAAATCCTTCTGATTGAAAACAACATAAAAGTTTCATATATGAAGACCTGCACATAAGATGCATAACCAAGATACATGTACATTGAGAAAGTTTCATTATCCAAAGATATGGATAATAATAAATAAGAATGGTGGATGTTAGCACACATCTGGTGTTCACAAGAGTGCACTGATGACAAGCACTCATGCAATAACTAAAACAGAATGAAATGCAGAAGGGTATTTGAAGATATATAATCAAATATCTACAGAAATATTTGTATCTAGAGATCACAATATATCTGCAGATCACAGTATATCTACAGATCACAATATATCTGCAGATCACAATATATTTATAGATAACAATAACATGGCTAAAAGTTAAAAACTCAACCCACACACATTTAAAGAAAGAAAAGTGACTACGTTGCTGTCACATGAGAAAGTGACTACGTTGTTGTCTGTCCTGGGCCCTCATGAATGGGTTAGGCAATTGGTTAGGAAAAAGTCAGACATTCGTGTGCTATTAAATAGTGAAGAAAATGGGTTACAGAGTAACCCATTTTCAATTTCACATTCGTATAACCTCATAAAACAACATACGCTGAAAAAGAGTAACCACTCGCACGAAGTGCTCGATTGTGTGGATACATAACAGTAATCATTTACTACAGCAATTGACCTTTAGATTACATTATGGCAACCACCCACTAGAGTGCTCGACTCTGATAATACACACAGTCACTATCACAACTAATTTACCACTATGCTTACCATGCCAATAATCTGAAGTGGCAGGAAATGATAAATAAGAAGAATGCCTAGAGACATAATGGTCCAACTCATATCTCTGGGGCTCTCAACTGTGTACACACCTGTGGGATAAGATGTCTTAAGATTTGTCCCTTTCACATAAACATTGAAGGCAAATCAAATCAATCAAACTAAAATGTGAACACCATCCCCACAACACAAACAGGCTACGCTTAGATCAATACCGGGCACTAAACAATCTATATAACACTGAAAAACAATATTGTGGAAGCTTAAACAATAAACTTGATCTTAATAATTAAAAGTCATCTAGAAAAATTGACTTGTATTTCTTTAGCTTTCCCACTAAGTTGTGCCGTAAGGCAAACCCTACTGACCTCTGATTAGGATCTTGCATCAATTAGCAGACATTCTGGACCACCACAACAGGGAACCTTTCAAACTATCCCCACCATGGTCATACAAGTGCCAGGGAGACGATGAAGAATACTCACTATAGCAAAAAAATATGTAAACAGAATAGTGTATCACAAAAATTTAGAAGCCTTTCCAAGTTGCAATTTGCACTTGTATTAAAAAGACAGCTAAGCAAACTACCTAATAACCCACTAGGTCACTACCCCCCTGACTGCCACCAAGTGGCACCAAAGCCCTAGCAAAAAGTCCTCCAATCCAATCTCTTCAGATTCCATTGTGATTGACCTTGCCTGTAAGTTGGGTGGACATAGAGCAGTACTTTTAGTTATGTGGATTGTGTTATCCTTATGAAGACTTGAGAATGGTCCAGGACGGACCGAAACGTCGTCGTCCCTTCACTTTCTAGTGTGTGGTCAGGTCAACATACTTCAGCCACGTTATTGTGACTCATCATCTTTATCCTTATAAACTTTGTTTCATTAGTACATTGACATTATACTGTATTACAAAAGTGAACAGTTCTCCTGAGTGTATAGACAAGACGTTTTTATGTCTCTGAACTGTAGCAAACCAGTGACCAGTTATTATTTCTCCACCTGACAAAATAATGCGTTTCATCCATAGTGACTTTCCTCTTGAGTTTCCTCACAATATTCATGGTTCTTAGGTACTTTGTGCCAAGGACTTAGGCATTTGGGCTAAGAACAAATTAATTTACTGTCCAGTCATCTCAGTTCTGGTTCAAAAGTGCACTAGTAGTAGTTTCCTCCTCTTGAGGTTTCCACTTCTTTTAAAACGTCTTGGTCCCTTTCTCAGGTGAGGTTCGCTGCCAGAGCATGTGCTTGCTGTTCTTCCTCATAGTTCCTGCTTCTTCTGTAGCCTAGGCAAGTCTTGAACGGTTATGGTGCCTTCCACCAGTTCCTTTCCAGTTTTCCCTGTGCTTGGTGGAATGTTTTTCTTAACCTAGGGTTCAAGTGGAATAATTGACAATTGGGTTGAAGGACTTTGTTGTGGCTTTGGTGCTGCCCCTCGGAATCAGTCAGGAGTGACTGCTGATACAAGATACTGAGTGACCTAATACAAGCCTGGCCTCGGGCCGGGCATGGGGAGTAGAAGAACTCCCACAACCCCATCATGCAGGTATGGTTTGGCAGTTAGCTAAGTCATGGCTTTAATGAAAAATTATGATAGGAAAAGTGTTCAATTTGTGTACATTAATGCACTTTTCTTTTCTACCTACAGTCAGGACTGGATTGAGTCTCCAATGTCTCCCTGGCACCAGTATGATTTGGCAGGAACAGTTTAAAACACTCCATGTTGTGCAGGTTATGTTGACCTGCCCTGACTGTGTCAGATTCTAATCAAAGATCAATAGGATCTTGCCTTAGGGACCAACCAAGAGTACTGATGATCAGAAAGAGCTTCACATGCACTCAAAGACTGATTGTTGTATTTTTATTAATAACTATGCCTTGAGCTATGTCATAAAAATAAATTTATACACACTAATACAAAACTGCTACATCTGATAGCTATAGAGAGAATTTGTTGTATTCCTAAAATATTAAAAGCTACTGTTATCAGAAAATGTGCTTTAACCCCTAAAGTGCGCAAATGGATGGCACAAAACTTGCAACGCATGCATACTGAGCATAACTGCAGTAAGCCATTTAAGCAAAGGCATCAGGACAAATAATCCGTGATCAAATACTGAGGCTTCTTTCGCCATCCTTAATACAGTACTGTATTACTTGATTAGTAAAATTCACACCAACAACCTGGGTTGTATTTAGTTATACTGCAATTAGTAATTCACCTAGCCAACGGTGAACCAAAGTGTGTTAATTTCCCCAGGGTTAGGCCGCTTTCATCGATTTACAGCATAAATAAGGAAATGTACAAAAGCGAAAATAAAACAAATGGAAGAAAAAGGTGGTGTAAAAAAAGAGAAAGGAAAAAGGTACATGATTAACTGGAGAATTATTATAATGTTTGAAAAATGGTACAAAATAATGAACTATGTTGCTGGATGGACAGAGAGAGAGAGTATTGCAGCTTGACAAATGTCGTAAAGCTTCACTACGAATTGATGCCTAGAGCTTAGGGGCACGAAGAGAAAGGTGAATGTTAAGCAGCATCACATCACAATGGAAACACAAGTTACATCATTCTCCTAAAATTATTACAATGATAAGACAGATCAGCTCAGTCTAACACCCACCTTGCCTCTACTGTACTTATGTGGCCAGTCAAATTTCTATTAAGAAAGAAATTTAATTAGCAACAAAGTAAGCTATGGGTATTCTAAAAGCAATGCTAGATATTTAAACAAGAAAATAATAGATATACCTATATACAGTGTTCCTGCATAAATCAGGATCAAATCTGAAATTACATTCATTTGAATTTGTGTTAAATTCAAATTTTGCATGAATCTGGATTTGTGTGAAATATGGATTTCCAAACAAAAAAAAATCATTTTTTTTTATATTTCACCAAATTTTCTGGATTTTTTGTATGATATAACACAAGTTTCAGCATATTCAGACATACAAATAATACAACAAATATTGTATGTACATATAGATAATAATTATGCAGGGAAAAACTATGAACAATTAAATTGTTCACTTACTTTTTTGTAGCACAGGCTGGGGATGTTTTGCAACCGGGGGATGCAAAATGCAGCACTGTACTACATCATGCCTTCTGTTAATTTTCTGAAGTTACCCTGAACTGGACTTGAGGTTATCAATGGCCATGGTTAATGCCATTCCATTTCCCCACAGACCATGCTTACTGCCAACAGCCAGAGCCTGGTTAGCATCAGGCTATAATACTGAATGCATCATTGGAAAACAGCATCATTCAAATCCTCATGTGTAGGAAGTTTTAATGTTTTTCTGTCACTTCTTTTTTTCACCAGTGCTCTTCATTTTATTCACAAGTTACATGACCTGCCTCCTTTATTTTCTTCATGTCAGAAAAAGCAATACAGTAGTAGCAATGCCATATTCTAAGAGCCAATTTGTCTTCTCAGACACAATCACGCTTCTCTAATTACTCAACCTTCATATCCCAATCTGTCCTCTTACAAAGAATGTCTCATTTTGCTCTCATGTGTTACACAAGGCTAAAAATTGTCGTACTAGAAAATGGCAGCAGCTTGTGAAAGTGACGTGCTGTCCCGTTTTCTGTTTTGGGTCCTCTGGTAGGTTAGGAGAGGATACTTTACACTGACCGATTTCTTGACGTTGGGAAACCTGAGGAGTACGGGCTGCATATCCATGGTAAGAGTACTTCTTATGCTTGTGTGATGTACCCATATTAATACTGCCACATAACACGGCTTCAACTCACAAATAATAATACGTCAGAGGAAAAAGCCACTGAAAACGCTTGAATAACGAGAGGCGAACTGTACTCCCATTCATGGAAAACACACGGTTGAGACGTATGACCTCACAGTAGGTCTGGATGCCTCGGGAAAACTGTCGCACAAATGAGCTCAGTTATATAATTTACAGTACAGTACACGTAGAGTAGGCATTTCTAAAACATAAATTATTTCATATAATATTTCAACAAAAAACTGATTTTCTTTCTTGAAATCCAAATTTCAGAGAAATTCAGGTGGGTGGATTTAAACTGTTGGCTAGAGGGATCCGTTATATAGAGATGTAGATTTTAGAGGGAGCACTGTATAGGAAGTCAGAAGCTGAGAAGTAAGTTACTACTGTGTCTTGTAAATTTAATTGCATACTATTATAACACTGTTGATGAAATATTACACCTAAAACTACATCATCAGAGATTATAGTATAACTCAGAATGAGTTTCATACCTGGGCATGAAGATTTTTGTATTTGAAAAATAAAAAATATTATCAGGAACAGATATACAGTCTTTTCCCTCTAAAAATTATTGCAGATAAAGATTATTACAACAACCTTCAGAACACCAGTAAAGTGCAAGTCTCCTTGTAAAAAGATAAAAAATTTAGACATAAAAGATGCCCACTGTAAAATTCATCGCTAAAGGCAAGACTTACTGCAAAAGTTATAATACTTTAAAACCACTCCTTCTCAATGGCAACACAGCACTGATATATTTTATTGCAACAAGATAACCATTTACAAATCAATACTAAATTATAAGAGCCCTAACGTAGGACTTACCACCAAGTCGGAGAAGGTAGTACGGTGTAACAAGCATCATTATATGCTGCACCCAGTATATCTCCACCTCAAACGGAAGCTGAAAGTATGTACATTATAGCACAATCAACTATTCAAAAGCCTATGGGGCGAGCAACTTCTCGGGTAATATTCCATAGATCCTTACCAATTCACATTCCTGATTACCTTTTAATCTATACTGGTTGCCCATGATTTGGACAATATCTGATAGTGATGTTTTTACCTGCAGTTTTTTTATAGCCCATTTTCAAAGAGCACAAGGGTTTTTTTTTTTAATGGCCCAGGGTCTGTGTGCTGTTCTAGCAGCCTGTACTAACCTAACAAGGCTTTAACAGCATTTAAACCATATGATACCTCCCGCATTTCCTATTATTACGAATGTCTTGGACTACATTCTTGAATCATGGCATATATATAAAATATCCTGCGATTTCTACTGCACCCCTAAAATACTCAAATAAAATTTTAAAATGATCAAGAAACTAGAGTATGGAAAGTCTGCAGCATTCCAAGGGAATGTACAAGGGAAAACAGCCCACACACCTGAGAAGTAGGGGACCCCCCTTCCAGGGGGGGGGGGGGCAAGAAACACTCATGAGACACCCCCCTTCAGATCTCTAAAAATAGCCTACTTTTTTTTGCTATATTGTAAATTATATTGAAGATTTTACAGGACGCGCTGGAATATTTTTAGTATATTTTCTCTGTGCAGGCAATTACATCGGTAGGGCAATCTTTTACGTCTTTTACTCATATTTAGTTCCTTCGATGAAACGTGTTCTTTCCTTTTATTATTAAGAGATGTTTATTGAATGATTTGATTCTTTCCTGATGCTTCAACACTGTAGCTTTTTCATTCAGTTGACACATGAATTTCCTTCATGTTCAATGAATACAATTTTGTACAGTAATTACAATTCAGTTTCTTGTTGTGAATAAAATAGAAATTTAAATTTTTTCTGGAATTCCTTGACCTGCTTCATGCACTATCAGTCAGGAAGAGCAGTTGCTGGAAATTCATCTCTAGTTTGCACAGTACAGTACTTAACATGCAGATTTCATCATCTTTTTCTATTAAATATTTAACTAAAACTTCATTAAAACTTTCAGATCTATTTTTACTTCCCCCAAAAATCAGGTAAAACCAGTTATCATTTAAATTTTAAGCTAAATATAATGTCAAGAAACATACTGACTACTAATGTGTTTAGGCATTATCACTTTGCCTGGCCGATAACTCATAATGCGTCCATATATGAATATACTGTACTCCGTCTGGGCGAGGATGCAAGCCAAGTCCAAAATTAAAATATTTGTTAAAAATAAATTTTTCCCGATCATTATGGGATTAGATTTAAAATGCATGCCTTTCGATTGCGGATAATTTAATACCAAAATGAACGACACAGCGCAAAAATTTAGGTGACAAAACTGAAAAATAGTATAAATATTTAAGTACGGGTAATGGGTGCACGCTCACGGGTACAACTTGGCTTAACTTGGTGTGTGGCACTGGGCTATTATATGCATACACATATATCCGTTTAGAGCATTTTATTGTGAAAAATTTAACACCAAAATGAACGACGTAGCACGAAAATTGAGGTAAGAACACTGAAAAGGAGTACTGTATAAACATTTGAGTGTATGTGCACCCTCACGAGTAATGCTTGGCCGATTTTGGTGTTTGGTGCAGGTGGCTCGCCGGACTATTTGACTTTACGTATATGCATATAAGTGAGTGTGTGTGTGTGTGTGTGTGTGTGTGTGTGTGTGTGTGTGTGTGTGTGTGTGTGTGTGTGTGTGTGTGTGTGTGTGTATATATATATATATATATATATATATATATATATATATATATATATATATATATATATATATATATATGTCCCTTTAGAGCATTTTATTGTGAACAATTTGATACTAAAATGAACGACGTACTAGTAGCACAAAAATTGAGGTGAGAAAACTGAAAAGAGTATAAACATTTGAGTTCGGGTGAGTGCGCGCTCACGGGTAATGCTCGGCCGATTTTCGGATTTGCTGCGGGTGGCAAACCCAGCTATTATTTTACCTTATATGCATATACAGGCCGTATTCCTTTAGAGAATTCTATTGCGCACAATTTGATACCAAAATGAACGATGTAGCATGAAAACTGAGGTGAGAAAACTGAAAAAATGAGTACAGTATAAACATTTTAGTGCAGGTGCACGTTAATGCGAACGCTCGGCCAAGCATGGGGGTGTGCTGGGCGTCGCACACTGGGCCGAGCAAAGTGTTAAGGCCTGGTTTGCCAAACTCGGGAAATTTTAGAAACCTTTCTGGGTGAAGTGGAACAAAGTGGTTGAACCCTATCACACTGCTCCTTGACCATTTAATTTATGAATACCAGGGAAGAGAAACCTGAAACCAAGCTCAAGCTGGAATAAACAGTCAGATTAACACAAGTAACTGTCTTTGGCAAGAAGCAAACAGTAAAACAATGTACTGAACTATTAATGTGCAGAACAATCACAAAGTGTAACCAGCAACTTAACTAAATCTGCTCCCAAAAGAAGTGGGTCAAGGAGTAGGTGAACAAACAAGAAAAAAGTTAAGGTTTTTAGCTCCGACCTTGCAATGCTACATAACTGCCACTTGGAGACAGTTGAGTACTGAAGTGGCTAGTTTTTTCAGTTTTGAAAGTTATAATTGACTTTCCTTGTGTCATTAGGAAACACTTAGGCGTCGCCGCACGCTCGCCTGCCCATTACCAATTATCACTTCAAGATGTTATTAACAGTATTGCTCTCTTTGGACACCGATCATGTCAATTTTTTTCTCTTGAATCCTAGCCGTGGACAAGACTCGCATCCACTACAAACATATTTGTATAAAATTCATTTTTTATCCAATCGACCTCGGGATAGTTTCAAAATAAGCGCCTTTAGAATGCACACAATTTGATACCAAAATGAAAGATGTAACACGAAACTTGATGTCAGAACACTTGAAAGATTATAAATATGTTTTTGGGTCTAAATTTTAAATTTTTAAAATATTTGTTAAAATTCTATTTACTGTGCTATTATTACGGGACTAGTTTTAAAATGCGCACCTTTATATTGCAAACAATTTGATACCAAAACAAGCTATGTAACATGAAAATTGATGTCAGAACACTGGAAAGATATAAATAATTTTGATGATGAGTGTCCAAAATTAAAATATTTGTTAAAATTCCAGTTATTGCCCTATTATTATGAGACTAGTTTTAAAATGCGCACCTTTATATTGCAAACAATTTGATACCAAAACGAGCGATGTAACACGAAAATTGATGTTATCAAACTGAACGAGTATACACATTTCGTTGTGGTGTACAAATTGGTGCTCGTTCACGGGTAATTTTAGGCTTTACTGCGGGGAGTCTCGCTAGGCTTTTGGACATTATAAGCATATATATCTGCAGGGAATTTAATTGCGAACACAATGATACCAAAATGAACGACGTAGCATGAGAATTAAGGTGAGAAAACTGAAACGAGTATACACATTTAGGCGTCGCCGCACGCTCGCCCGCACCATTAACCCCATGACGTCAAAGCCTGTAGTGCTCACGTGGCGCGGGCGATAGTGTTAAGAAGTTTGCTCTGCCCTCAATGGTGAACTAAGGTACTCTCCATTGTGTCCTCACCTCAAGACTATGTGCAAGACCACTTTATAAGTTCAATGTCACAACAGGGTTAGACACTAACAAGAGCATGTGTGTGAGCAGTGCCTTGATCCTCATGGGGACCAGGATCCCCAAATTCAATTCGGTTGCTCCCTGGCTCTGGGAGCAACCGAGGAAGCTCTGCTCAGAAAAGTAGCTCGAGTGGCCATCAACCAGCAACCTTACCCTAAGCTTATCCCTAATATACAAGTTATCAGTCATGAGAACTGGTGAGGAACTTGAGGAATGTTGACACGAGAGACATGCAATACTGTAGCTTGGCTTCCTTGTCACATGAGCAAGCTTGTCATTAAAATTTCCGTAAATAATAATGAAGTAATTTTGAATACAAAGTAATTTCTAGTAGCAAGTATTAATCTAGGACTGATCAAAGCAATGATCCCAAAAGGGCAGTTAAAAGATGCTTTACAATTAATCATGAGAATATAATAAGAGCCAAACAAGGAAAGGAATAAAATAATTGTCTTGTTTTTTTGTGCGAATAAGAGTTTACAGCAACATAACTTAGAAATCTATTTGTCCAGTACTAATATTAGGAACAATAACAAAGAGTACAAGTTCATAGATGCAAGGGGTATTAAAACATGCCAATTAGGTGCTTCAACTGGAATAAGTGATAGTACGCATTACTCTGCCAGCCTCCGAATAAAGCTGCAAAAGCTTACTGAATGGTTGTTTTATCTTTAAGGGAAAATGAGTAATGTGGGCAAAGTAATTAATGTCTGGGTTAAATTAGTTTATGCTTACAAGTCTTGAATTGGTGACAGGAAAGAGCAAAGCAAGAACTGCTCCGTTCAGAAAGTTGAGGTGGACACGAAACACGGTAGTTACCCACTTGCTAGGAGGCGCTGCAAGGAGGTATATCTGAAATGTAAACATTTCTAAATATGAGACTAGGTTTTGCTCCTTTTAACTATCCCAGAGATATATATTAAATCAGTGATTTCATACACTTAATCTAAAATATGTGCAGTGCAATCCCATCACATCAGTACCATATCAATAAATATTTTCAGAGACGAAATAATAATGTATGAAACCCTTCGTTAGTGCTAATGTTATTCCCAAAGATATTATACACAAAGGATAAATTAAAATAAGTAGCTTAATTTCATGCTGGTAAAACTAGATAGAGAGAAAACTTGAAATGAGAGACAAATGTATTACAATATAATGTACATTTGTCTCTTATTTCAATCTGCATATTGTATTTTGGTCTTAGTTCTGAGAGCCTGAGACCCTTCTACAAAGATATTGTACTTCTGATGAACAGGTTTTCAGTACTATGACTGAAGTACAGCATATGGTTTCATAGTTTGTTTCCTTTTTCAATGTAGGGTTTAATTTGATTTAGATTGCTGTTCAACTTTTTAGACTAACCAGCATTGAAATGATTTGTATAAGTTGCTACCAATTAATGTTTCTGACTTTAATAATAACAATGTTTACTTGCTATGGTTATTCTGACTCTTATACAGTATAAATAATGTACTTTACTTTTTATGTACACTTCCCAATTATAGATGAATGACATTTATGAATACTGTAATGTCTTTTATTAATTGATTGATTGTAAAGTGTCAACCTTTCCTGACTGTTCCAGATTCTACCCAGGAGACCAGTATTATCTTGCCTTAAGAAGCAAATAACTGATGTAGTCCAAGATACACTTCTTAACTAATATAACAGAAGTGATTATATACACGCACTAATAAACAGTTTCGCTAAACTGAACCAGGTTCCAAATCCTACAATGGAAAAATGTATAATGCACCTGTATTGCTGTTGTGACATGGCATGGATTCAGAAGATATATAAGCTGCTTTGTAGCAAACTTGAATCCTATCTCCATACCAAACACCATCGAAACCAAAACCAGGAGTGTTCGTTTACCTCCTCGATCCTTCCTGTAAAGGCAGTCATCATTTAATGTTAAACAAAGGTGGGAGGAAAAAAAGCACGACAAAATAGCTTAACTCTAAATTAATAATGATACAAGCATATGGCACAAGTGAGCCCACATGGAGTTGGAACTTTTAGCAACTCTTGAAAGAAACCCAAAACATACAAGTCACTAACCTCACAAATTTATGCGATGCTGGGTAAGTAATATATGAATAACCCCAGAAGAAATACACAAGTGGTATTGCACTCCCCAAGAAGGTTTCAAAGAGGCGGCGGTGAATGGAGAGGAAATTTGCACAGGATGGTCCTCCATTGCCTGGAATGGATGGGTCCACTCCACCATAGCTCCAGTCGAGTACATTCTCCAAAGTGTATCGGCTCCTCCAATCCATCCAATGTCTGCAAGAAAAGTGGGTTCTGCATAGTCATGTAATAGTTGAATTTTTAACAACTCATTGTGAAGTAATGTATCCCACTCGGTTGCTCCCTAAATTATACTCCTATTCACCTCTTGAAGATCTGTTGAAAACAAAGCAGGTTAACATTTACCACTAATGTGGCAAAGAATTTTCAAATTATCCTGGGACTCCCCAAGCATCTGCCTTTCAGTGTTTTTTTGGCCACAAGTTGCATTTATTTCCACTGACAAGCAATGTTCATACAGCCATACAGCTTTGTGATTTACCCTTCAAGAGTACACTGAGGCATGCTGCACTGCTGCTATTGGGGCCCCTAAATCAACAACAGTAAGAACAGTGCTTTACATAACCAATAAGGGAAGGGAACTATCAGGGGGAAAGCACCAAGCCATTACAACTATATAGCACTGGGAAGGGGTAAGGATAAGGATTTGGGATGGGACGGGGGAAAGGAATGGTACCCAACCACTTGGACGGTCGAGGATTGAACGCCGACCTGCAAGAAGCGAGACCGTCGCTCTACCGTCTGACCCAAGTGGTTGGACTACATAACCAATAAATGTTCTACAACTGGACGGCTAAAATTAAACAAGATAGAGGAGGGTGGGCCGATTGCATGTTTTTGGATTGTCAAGAAGTCTTTGACTAAGTACCCCACAGGATGTTAGTGTAGAAGTTGGATAAACAGACAGGAATAACAGGAAGATGCTCCAGAGGAAAATAAAGTACCTCAGCAGCAAAAGTCCAAGAGTTTTAGTGATGGAAGACACTTTAGAGTAGTAACATACTACCAGCAGTGCAGGACCAATACTGTTCCATATCTAATAAATGATCTACCAGACAAGACAGACACACCTCTCAAAAAATAGCAAGCCCTCTACTAATGTGGGTAAAATAAAGTACTACAACAACAAAAAAGAACTGTAACTTTAATACAAAATCCACATCAAAATCATGTTACCTCACTGAAAGCACTACTTAATAAAAAATTGGCAAAATTTCAAATTACAAAATAATATCGACTCATCCATAAGTTGCAAGAAAAGATCAACGTTGCTCAACACTGAGCTGCATCATAAGTAGGTGACCAGAGCGCTCATTAATGCCACCTCACACTATCCATATTTTCCATAAACTAAACAATATAGATAAACTTAATGAACTAGATTATGAGAGTTATTCCCATACAATTAAAAAATAAGTTTTAACAAGCATACAATGTCGCTAATTGTCTTATAACTACAACTAATGACTCGCAAAGCTAATTTCCCTAATAATTTCCCCTGCGGTGTTATCTACGAGGCAGCCACACTATCTACAGAAAGAAGATCTCTACGAGTGGCACTAGGAGTTGTTGTAGACGCCATAAGAGGGCCAGCAAACGTCTGGTGTCTCACCGTTCTGAAATCCCAAGGGAAGATATGGCACTCTGGCGGCTCTCTACTACGAAGCTTACAACAATCTCTCGCATACTGTAATACCACTAGATAAATAGATCTATTCTTCCTTAATTCCATTTCCTGCTCTCTATTTTGTTACTGTTGTAATATTTTAGTTCAAATATCACGTTACATATTCATATTTAGAATTTTGTATATTTGTATTTTGTTAAAATGAATGTTTATGTACCGTGGAAGAAATCTTTTAATCTGCAAGGACGAACAGAAACAGCTGGTTTTAATTACGAGTTACAAAGAATATAAACATGATATCAAGATTACATATTAATTATATTTTAAAAACAAATATTATGACGTTTTGATAATATTATTAGCTTTTATTTTGTAATTTTTATTGAGTTATAGTTTCTTTTAATTTGCAGAAAATTGTCAAAATATATCCCTATATTATGATACGGATTTATTAACTTATCGTTATCTCTTGTACCTCCTTTCCACTACCGCCCACAAGATGGGTATGGGGTGCATAATAATAAATCTTGTACCTCCCATACAATCTGAGCTCCGCTTCCGGACAGGAACCGAGGATGTAGCAGGCGTTTCCTCTCTGGATCCCCACACTGAGGCGCTGAAACAAAAAACTGGCAGCCCTTGAGTCTCCCTGGAACCCAATTCTTTGAGAAATCCCAAATAAACTATTTTGTTTGGGTTCAGCCAATCACCCTTCCCCAGGGGCCGCGCATCTCAGACGCTATTGGAACAAAGGTGTATTGACCTTCCAATCGCCTGTATTTGACTGATTTTGCTATTTCTCTGTGATTGGCCGCCCCGGCACCATTCGGGATGTACAGTAGAGCGACGGTTTCGCTTCATGCATGTCGGCGTTCAATCCCCGACCTTGTCCTTCCAAGTGGTTGGGCACCATTCCTTCCTTCCGTCCCATCCCAAATCCTTATCCTGACCCCTTCCAAGGGCTATATAGTCGTAATGGTTTGGCGCTTTCCCCGAATAATAACCTCCCCCCTCCTAGTACAGTTTTAGCTGCCATATCCTGTGAGATGGGCGATATTAGATTAACTTATAGCTAGTTTTTTATCTACACTTTGTAATCATTCATATAGAATAGGGTATCAGTACATTGCTGTGTGTACCTAAGCGTGTTAATAAAAAAATATTCCACCTAAGAAATTTGTCGAAATATTAATAACTATTTCTTAAATATTGTTATTTTTCATTGTCTTTTTATAATAGTCACTATAAATAACATGATCGTCTTGCAGAACAATTTTTGTCAGAATCTTCTTTGAATTAATTTAATTTCATATATATACCTGAATTTTCCTGAAAGCCACTATATATCCCTCTTCTAATTCATCAAAATCAAATGTTGGTGTTGTTAAAGATTTAGCTACTCAGGACGAAGTGTCCATGTAGCACGGGCTATGGCGAGCCCGTAATCCAAAATCAAAATTCGAAGCCACTTATATAGTGGCCTCGAAGAGGACATGAAGCCGACTACTTGTAAAAGGTCAACATTTGTCTTGATTTTATCTATTTGGATCTTAAATTGCAGCAGAGTTTTGCCATTTACGGCTTCGGCGAGTAGGACGCTCCAGGGGCTTTTTTGTTCACCCTATGGGTGAACAAAAATAGTTTTGTGTCCCACATTATTTCTTGCTGAAGTTGAAGTTGTTGCCCCCTTGTATGTGTTACATTTGACCTTTCAAAAAAGTGGTCTGGATTAATATCTTCAAGTTTGTTTAGCATTCTAATCTTGATGAGATCAGCCCTGTAATGTCTGTTTGCATTGTCAGTTCTGTGGCTGTCAACCGCTCCTGTCAGTTGACTAATACAAGAGATTTTACAAAGATTGATGGAATTATAGATAGAGCTAGTACATACAATGCCTAAAGCCACTATTGCGCAAAGCGTAATGTATTTTCACAACCCAATGGACCTTCTTGTATATGAATAAATAAACAAATAAAATAAAAATATAAATATTATGACCATGAATAATACATGAGTATGTGTAATAATATTATGTCTGTGTATGACCACCATGAAATTTTGAATGCATTTGGCGCCAATAAGTTTCCTAAATATACTGGCAAAATAAAATACTCCATCCCATACACATAAATTACATCTGGAATGCCCTTATATCTTAACATCTATGCTAAAAGCAAGTTAGATGACTAGCCACATTAACCACACGTTAGCAATGTGGCCATTTATGCCAGAATCACTCGGTGGCTCATCGAGGTAAACACCGGCCGATGCACAAGTCATCTTGAGGACTCCTGCTTGTCACTCCTCCAAGGTGAGGTCCTGCACGCCCCTGTGGCGGGTTCCTGCCCTCGCAGGACCCTACTGCTGAGGTTTTAGCGAGGCGAGGAGGTGATGGTGGTGGTCTGGAGGGTGGAGACAGGTGGCTGAAGGTGGGACTGGTGGGTGTATAGCGAGGCCTCTCCCGGGGGTCGGTCCTGGCCACGCCGACTCCATTGACCAGTTATAATAAGGATTTTTTGAAGTAAATGTTGTGTAGGATTGACTAGATGGCTAATGGTATCCGGAACTGGATTAAAATAAAAACATATACGTATATATTATTCAAGACTATTTTCACTGACTTTGTTGGCCAGGATGGCTGGTGTATACTAGAGGTGCTACAATTAATGACTGGCATACAATTACTAGAAGCATTACGACCGGTGATCGCACTGCCGAAGGCTGTGTTCGCTGCTTATTTTTATTACTTTTTTTAGGCTAGCTTTACAGTGCAATTCTTGGTTAGGAAACACTTGGGTAGGTTGATTTTAAGTTAATTTAGGTGTTATAGTAGGTGTGTAAATACTGTGTCACAGTCAGGTTAAACAGAGACGACCGAACCCATGGCTAGCGGGGCCCTGATGGGCGTTGTAAGCTTTGTCTCGGACAGTAGTATACAATACTATACACAAATTTCCATTAGTATACAGAGTTGCCCATCTAGCATCCCTTTTGGTGTTTTGTACTGTATCTCTCAATGTTTTTTGCATTGTTTCTTGATTGAATACAGTGCATTTGAAATGATGTAATATCAAAATTGCATTCTATTGTGTCCCACACATTTACTTATGCTGTGAAAGAATATATTTCCCACCACTCAAAATCATCATATTAATTATTTACACAAGTTTATTCAGGGAGTTTGTCATTACAAATAATTAAATTATCACTAATAATATTAAATAAGAATGAATATCAAGGTTAGGTGGGCACTGATCCATTTTCAAGTTCAGCCTATTGTTGTTGATTTAAAGGCAACAACAAAATTAGATCTATGCACCCCGTCGAACCTGATAATCGGTATAAAATTAAAATGGGAAGCTATCCCCCCAAAAATAAAATGTAACCAGAATATAAATTACACTTATTCATTCATCATACCTTGCACATTACTCCATTTCCTCACTCGCCATATCTGTCCTTCATAGTCTTGGCTCACACACTCATTCACTCTAATAGTCACATTGCACCAGTTGATCATCATTCATTTGTTGAACATGACAAAATAATTGGGGGTTATGTACATGCACCTCAATCTTAAGATTTACAAACATTTTCACTAATCTAATAAATAAATTTCTTTTCTTATTTTTGTATTTTAATCCTTCAGATATTTATTAGGTTGTCCCTTTTCACTTCACCAATTATTGATTTTATTTACTCATGTCACACAAGAATCTTGCAGCCATTCATAAGGATAGACACTACCACAACATCATAATACTCAATCCTGAAATTGAGTCTAGGTACATTATATCCATGTATTTACACACATGCACTCGCTCACCAGGCCAGGCTTAGTGAGACCAACAATGCGATACCGACTACAGGTAAACTCGCTTGCACTTAGTCTCTCTGATGTAATATTGTGTACTTGTGAAGATGGTTTTATATACAATACAGTAAAAAACTGCATAGGCTATGTTTTATTTATGCCTCTCGGGCTAGTACAGTGAATAGCTAGAAAGTAATTAATATGGATAAATAAATTAGTTTGGCACATTCTCCTGCAAAACTCTATATTAGTGGAGTATATAGCAATGACCACACTGACATGTAAATGGACCCGTTGCACGTTATATTGACCTATCATCCATCCAGCCAATATCTGGATATCCATCCACACCAGTTCCACATCCACTTCTTCTTTCTTTCTAACTTGACCCCCCACCCAACCATGCATCTTCTCTACTTCAGTTCAACTTACCCCTGCACACTAAGTATTCCTGCCCCACTCAACCCATTTCCAAGCAATCAAGCACCCTTCTGGTAGACACTCGCCTAATTGTCTATGAAGGGGTTGAGCTTCAGCTCTTTGGTCTTGCTCCATTACCTAACTTTTAAGTAGGATATCATAAATGTTTTGTAACATTTTGTTCACTACAAGGCGGTATCAAGTTTTGAAGCAGTCGTGATTATTACAAATTTCAAACTCGACATGATGGAAATGTTAGGCATTTTGCCCGAAGCTACTCCAAGACTAGGAATGGTGATGGTTATGCAAAATGGCTATGGATCTATTTGTGTATTATTAATTTTAGTTGAGTTATTCAATTAAGTTTCATTTCATGGACGCTGCAGAAATAATTGTGCTATAATTATTACAAATGTACAGTTTGCCATTATTTATAATCCCCGATATATTTTATTCATCGTTATATTCTTTTCAGATGTTTTTAACACGCAGTGAATATGACCGTGGCGTCAACACATTTTCTCCTGAGGGACGTCTGTTTCAGGTTAGTGTTGACCAAAATTTGTCAGAGTAGATGAAATTATATATTATTTGTCTATTTTAATTAAATTACTAGATGGGGTACTTTGTTGTACCCCAAATGATTGCTCGGTTATTTGTTGAGAGCCTCCAGGACACACATCTGTCATCTGAGCATGAGTTTTGCATGTCAATTTCTGTTATACTGTTTAATGAACAAATTTAAAAAATACTATGGTCTCTGAACCAACCATTTTGTCCAACTTCATGGGGATCACCATGGGAGCCAACCCTCCTTAAAGGAGGGCAGTGAGGCTGACATCGATCTATCTAATACTAGCTATCCCCACGAGTCTGGCCTTCAATCTTAGACAAAAAACAATTGGATATTTTATTTTATAGATATAGATATGCAAAATTGTGCTACAAAAATTACATCGCTTCGGCTCCAACTTTCATGAAGTGCCGAGGCATCAGCCCGAAGAAATGGGATAACAATAAGATTTCCAATAAAAAAACTCATCTGTTTGATGAGTCACACGGTCTCGCATGAAGCGAGACAATCACTCTACCGTCCAGCCCAAGTGGTTGGGCGGTAGAGCGACTACGTAGATCCATGGGCGAGCCACAACTATTGAGTGGCATGAGGACCATTTGAAACTTGCTGGTACTTAAACACTGGTGCAAAAAAAAAAAAATAAACATCTAGGATGTAAGTTATTTAAGGATTAAGTGTTTGTAATTTCATTGCCCTGTCAATTAAGTGTACTGTACAGTGCAACCACAAAAACCTAAAACTACTGAGTTCCATACCTTAATTCAGACCTTAAAATAGAGTACAAAATACTGTACTAAACTTTTGAATATTTGAATTAACATTACTGTGTATTCTGCAGGGTTCAAATTTTTAGCATGATTAAACACTCAAAAAAATGATAAAAAATATAGTAAACTAATTTATACTTACATTTTGGAATACTGTACCTTATTTATCTACCTCCAGTTGCTGATGCGTGCCCAGTGTCACTGTTACTGAACCACCCATGGCCGTCATGTACACTAGGTCTATTTTAATATTAATATTACTGTGTATAGTATAAGTGCATCAAAACATTTAATTTTATATTTTTATTTGTTTATTGACTAGCTCTTAAGGTTAGTATAGTACAGTACCTGTGAAATTGTAATCTGCAAATATTAATGATGTATAGTTAGTCCAGATTTACCAAATGTATTTAGAAGTTCAGTTTTTATTTTTTTCCAATGTTTTAAAGTTTCTGCTATGTCAAGATCTTTATTTTTAATTTTACACTGTATTTCTGGGAATAATTTGTTTTTATAAGAAACCAAAACCAAGAGTGATATCTGACCAATGAATATTTTGTCTTCCTTAGGTTGAATATGCCATTGAGGCAATAAAGTTGGGTTCTACTGCCATTGGCATCCAAACAAGTGAGGGCGTTGTCCTGGCTGTAGAAAAGAGGATCACCTCGCCCCTCATGATCCCCAGCACTATAGAAAAAATTGTGGAGATCGACAGACACATCGGTAGGATTTTTATGTTTACTGTATGTATATATAATAAGGTTCAAACACCGTTACTGGCTAAAGCAGGCTAGTGAGTGCAGTCTCTTCCCGGTTTTCCTGTCCTTGTGTATACTCTCCATACTGACACCCTTTCAAGTCCATAGGTTTTCTAGTGGTATAGTAGAAAGAAAATTGAACTGATATACTGTACTAGTAGCATTATATAATAATATATTGTACTGGTTCAGTAATTATACAGTACAGTATTAGTAGGATTTGAGAATACAGAAAAGATATCAGAAGACATGAGTAGAGTTTCAGAGCCTGAGACAGGCAGTATTTCAGATTAATAATACAAAATTAGTATTTGAGTGTGCAGGTATATGAAAACTTTCTGAACACAATACTAGGTTAGTCCCTTAGGCAACATCCTGGTGGTCTGCATTGACAGTATTGTGCACAATCAAGGAAGATCAGTGTGCCATGCTATCACAGCAGGGATCTTTCCACATCTTCCGGCCAACTAGCATTGGAGAATGCTTTATACAGTTCAAATTAACTCGAGAGGCCTTCCAAGCTCTACTTGGCATCACAGGAACCACCAAGAATAATTCTTGCTTACTGCTCATTAGCCTGCCCAGCTGCTAACCCCAGAATGCCATTAGGTGACAAGTGTTGATACACACTTGTTCATCTGACTCGACTACGAGCAATTCTATGCATCATGAACAACCTACAAATAGTAGGAATATAAGGAAGGAAACTGATGCAATCAAGTTTCCTGTACAGAAAGAAACTTTTTCCATGTCTCTCCAACCCTAATCCTTCCTTTGGCAAGAGTTGTACTGGAAGGCTAAGGACTACAATAAATGCAAACAGGAACAAAACTTTCCTGTTCTACAGAATTATGGTGCCAGATGGAACTGCAGTGAAAGTTTACTCAAAAAATTAAACATAAAGTTTACTCAATATTTGACATTTACGTGTTACATATACAGTAGTGTATGAGGATAATTGAGGAAAGGGCAATAGTTTTATTATTTTAAATGACATCTTGGGAAAAAAAAATTTGTAAAGAGAATTTTACATCACACTTCATGTACCCAAAAGTAATCAAATGCAAATAAAAGACGAGACTTTCGTATAGATCGTATGGATGGATGTGCTCTTTATTTGCCTTGATGCATGCATTCCTATTTTAAATCAATTTTTCATTATTACCTCTCAGGTTGCGCTGTATCAGGATTGGTGGCAGATTCTCGAACTTTAGTTGATCACGCAAGAGTTGAATGTGCCAATCACTGGTTTGTTTACAATGAGAATATGAAGGTAGAATCGGTTGCTCAAGCTGTGTCGAACTTAGCCATTCGCTTTGGGGACTCTGATGACGATGGGCCAGCAATGGTAAGTAGAGACTTGTGATGCATTATGCATAATGTCTGTTGTAAATGTTTTATTATTTTAATGTATTAATTCTTTTTCATGTAATTTTTATATTTATTCATTTTAGTTTAACTGCTCAGGAATTTTCAGTTAGATTTTAATTGGTATTTTGTGTTATTTTATTAAGAATTTCTGAACTTAACTCACTTGGTTGCTCCCTGAATTAATCCTTGAAATATAGTACAGGTACTCATATTATCTTAATTAAGATGATAGGATGATATGCACACATGGTGTGCATATCATCCTAAGATGATTTAGTTAATTTGCAACATAAGAAACTCCTGCAGGTTCTCAGGGTTCCCAATTGGTATTTGAGACCTCCAATAACCATCAAAGACAAACAAAATTTTTTAATTTAGTAAATAATTTTTTTGTGCATTAAGATAATGCTTGATTTATCCTATGCAGATTTGAAGGGTTAAGCACTGTTTTGCTCTCACAGAGACATGACACTGTACTAGCCAATCCCGTGTACTGTATATGTACCCAAGTAAACTATTAACACAGATCCCCAGAGCACATGTATGCTACATAAACCTCTTAATGAAAATTCATTTTAGATTTCAATTAGTTTAGAAGTCTTAGAAGAATAGTCGCCTATAGTTTATGTAATGTGCTGGCAGAGTCGTCCATTTGGCGTGGCAATGCTGTTTGCGGGTCTTGACAAAGCTGGCACACAACTCTACCACATGGACCCATCTGGCACTTTCCTGGAATTTGGTGCCAAGGCCATTGGTTCAGGATCTGAAGGAGCCCAGCAGTCTCTTCAGGAGTCTTATCACAAGGTTGGTCAACTTTTTCTTCCAAATTTGCTGTATGTAATTTTTTTTCAAGAAATTGGAAGCTGGATCAGACAGGGAAAGGAGACTGGTTTTTTACTCACTAGATGTAGCTATGTAGTATGTTCCTAGTGTTTGAACAAAGGAATGTCAGCCTCTTGAGCAAGATGCAAGTAGCCTAGATCGTATAACTAGTACTGTTACTATATTGATTCAGCCATGTATTTTGCTTAGGAATTTTTATTATTATTTAATAGGTGTAAAAATGAGACTGTGAAGTGTCTAGAATGCCTAGCGAGTTCAGATGGACTCCAGGTTGTGTAATTGTGCACGTCATAATCCATGGGTTAGGGTGTGCGTCTAGGGTGACGCAGGATGCTGGTTTGATCCTCCTCCTGTCCTGCTCCAAAGATTTTTTCTTGCAAGATCATTTATATAGATGAATGATGCTATACCCGTCCAATGTTTTAGGAGAAGTTTTAATATTTGATTTGAAGTGTCCTAACAAGGAATGCCAATTTTGTCTCTAGGCATCTGTCCATTAGTGGTGAATGGAACACAACCAATTCCCTCATCCATTCTGGACAATTTTAAATGACTAGATTCTCTAACACTGAGAAGACTCTTCTTCATTATGATTCTGTACCTGTATGTTGAGTCTACTACACATCCTCTTCCATGAAAAGCTTTCATTGTACAAAATCTCCCCCCAAAATTTATAGCAACAACTCTGTCTTAACGGTTGATATGCTACAACTGCCTATGTTTTCATGGGTTTGGCACACTACTTTGCACCCTCGGTTGCACTTGGTATTCCTTCACAACCGTGTTTTCATGGATGTGTTCCTGTTGGCTACACAGAACACCAGAATATAAAAACTGCAGATGGCATATTGGCCCATAAGAGGCAGCTCCTCTTGCACACAAGCAAACTCTGACATGAGCAGTATGTGTGTAACCTATGCTGGAAATAATGCAACATGCCCATGTCTATTACGTTACCCAGTAATCTGTTTATAAACCACCAGTCCTATTTCCTAATCCGTACTGACCTTTTTTCTTTTCTTTTTTCTTTTTTCTTCCCCCCATTTGTATACTGTACTTCAGTCATGTCACTCCTTACTGTTTGCCTTTCTAAGAAATGTAAATTAGGCTTTCTTTCTCTCTCTGATCATAAGGAAGGTTTCTAATTCCTGGGATCAACTGTGTCGGCCATCTCTGTGCATATTAGTGATTTTTATATCCATTCTATAGTACAGTGACCAAAACTCAAGTGCTTAATCTTTGTAGGGCCTAACAAGGCCAGCATAAAGCTGAGGAATAACATTAGATATCACCAACACTTTTAGATATAAATACCAGTGCTGTACCTCATTTACCTTATTTTGAATATTTGTACATTGATCATTTTACTAAATATTACTGCAGATCATGACTCGGATATTTTTGCATTTAGATTTTGCCATTTGAGCAATGTACAGATGATATCTGGTAATATACTTTTATTACTACTTAGGCTTAAACCCCTACATTTGTCAGGATTTAACTACGTCTGCCAATTTTTTATTTTAAAATGTAATTTGTCATGTAGCCATTTTGAGTCATTATTGTCTGCCATAAAATTTGCTTTTATCTGCAAATTTACAAATTCTGCTGTTCAGTCCTGTATCTTAAGTTGTTTATTTGTATGATAAACAACAGAAGTCCCTTGACAGCCATCAGGCACTTGATTAACAATAGTTTATTACTTGCATACAATTCCATTTGTTTATCCTCGTTTCCATAATCAGGCCTTAATCCAACTTAGGATGATCCTCCCAGTGCCATGCTCATCTACTTATACAAGGAGTCTTGTGAGACACATCAGAGGCTTCTTTAAAGCATTGGCATATGTCACAAACTTTCTCGCAAGCACCTGTCTAAAATGTGCTGGCAAAGGATGAGGGTCAGTTTGTTAAACATGGGGGGGGGGCATTTATTAAAACTGTGCTGCGAGTCGTTTATTAATCTATGCTTCAAATGATCGGAAAATAGTAGATTTTGCGGTTATCGATTATTTTCCTACAATGGGTGTTAACCACTGTGATGCGCCATGTTTATTGGGACATTCCTCCTGTGCACTGAAAATCAAGTTTTCACAAATTTCTTTTTTAGCTTTTTTTTTAAATGATAAATTCCCTTCCCTGAACACAAACATGTAAAAAAAACTAATCAATTCCACTTACTTGGGATGTGGAGAAGGGGGCGTGTGACGTCGTCATTTGCTGCGTGCCCATGCGTGAAGCTCTCGGTGGCAGTCGCACAGGCCATTCAAACACCGCGAGCTGCCACAAATATATTTTAAATTATTTGTTTCATGTATTTCCAATGCAGTTTTATTTATATTTTTTTATCGTATATGATGAATATTTGTGTCCTTTACAATATGTATACATTTGAACATTCATAAGTTACTATGAAACTGTGATACATGTCAGTAATGTGTCCACATTAAATGTTTATTGCTGCAATATTACTTATTCAAAATTCACTAAAATTACAATATGTATGGTTTCATACACTATTTACACAGTAACACACTGTATTACACACTCGGTACTCTGGAAATGAGTGATAATCAACGAAGCAGTACATGGAACACAGCATGACTTCGCTCTCGATGCACCAGGTACAAACCAATTTTCGCTTCCTGTTTTCTCATTCCGTGTGCTTGAAAATAACGCACTCATGTACACCCTTGGCTTTAGTACCTGTAGGTGGTATGTAGCCAAGCTTGTAAAGTGTAAGGTAGTCTTGAAAGGATTATAGGAAAAGATAAATTTGTAAGATAGTCTTGAAAAGATCACTTTGTAAGGTATTCTGGAAGAGATTGTTATTCTGGTAAAGATTCGGCCATTCTGGAAGAGATTTGGCTGTTATTGAAAAGATCTATGGAAAACACCACCATGGAAGCTGCTAACACTGTTCATCTATGCTACTTGTATCTGGTGCATCATCGCTGAACCTAGAAAATGATTCATCTATGTGTCATCAATAAAAAAATTGGAGATAACACGGGTGAGCATGGGTGGCACTCGACTACAACTGGATATGTTCGCTGTATCATCCTCATCGGCACTGTAGCACTTGCATTCGACCCTTGTGTTAGGTCCTTATTGTACCTAGCTTCATCAATATCATGACCCCTTATGTTCTTCAAACAACAAGGTCTGAATTTCACTGACGGAGAACAACTTTTCAACACTGCAACCGACAGGGGATTGGGAGCCAGAAGCACATGTGCCACCCTTGGTTGCTCATTCAGAACTGATCCTGCCAGCAGCCCTAGGGAAATCTGGAATTTTTTTTTTCGAGATGGCTGCCTCTTGCTGGAGGTCTCAGGAGCTCATTTCGTACCCAACCTACTGCGACCATGTTTAGACTGTGTATGAAGAAAATAGTGTTTTCTTGGTTAGCACAGTAATGGGCAAATGAGATTTCTTGGCTGGCACAGCACAGTGGTTAAGCTAATTAGTCAATAATTTGACACTGGTGATCTATGTCTTTTTCTTAACAATTTGTGCCACATTCACAATTCAGATCCTCTGTTTGACTCTAATGATTTATTAAAAATACAAGAAGTTCTTAGTAAAGTCCCTGCCATTAGTAGAATTAGATGAACCACCAGTGTAGATCTGATCTAATTAATTTCTGGCTGCTTTATTAATTTCCTCGAGATACTTATGCCTCATTTCTTGTGGTATCATGTTGGATGTTTTCAGTCATCTCTTATTTTTATCTTGCATGGCTCATCCTTCCAGGGAGGTGACATTCCTATAGGCATGAGCTCATAGGCTTGCTCAAGCAGGTGGAGGTCTTTGAGATGGCAAACTGATCGGTGATGCCACTTTTGCTCTTCCTGTTTTCTCCTGTAATTATGCAGTATTTTTGTGTGTTTTGTTGCTGGAAGGTTTGCAACCAGTCACTGTTATAATCTCTTACTATTTGTTCACCTCCCAAGATACATTCCACTTTTTGTTCTTCCAATTTGCCATACCTACTCTAATTTTCCAGCCCAATGTTTTGGATTGGGAACTAGGACTGATGCTCTCATTACTTTCATTCCAGTCCATGACATTGCAAGAGGCTCTAAAGATTGCGTTGACAGTACTGAAGCAAGTAATGGAAGAAAAAGTAAGTGGCTCCAATGTGGAAGTGGCAGCTGTGACCCCCGAGAAGGGTTTCTACCGCTTCCCACAGAATGAAGTGGAAGCAATCATCACAGACCTTTAATTGGTTATTGATATATATATTGAATGATTTTTCTAAGTGGTGTTTTAGGACTTTGAAAGTTGAAAGCCTTTGCAAGCTTCATCCAAAAGAATTGCTTTGAAGTACAGTACAGTAACTGGGGAAATCGGCTTGTGTTTACCCGTCTTGCTAAAGATGTAGAAAAGTACGGTGTCCACTGCCAAGCTCGTGTCCATTTTTACCTTTGGTACATTTACCTTTTTGTCATGTTAAGACAAAATCACGGACGTTCAGTACAAGAAATCGTTTTTCAGTGGTGTATAGAAAATGTATTTAGTTTTGGCACTCAAATAATATATATACTGTATTAAGTCCTAAATTAGATCCAGCATTCAAATTTACTGTTATTGTTTGCTGATATTAAGAGAGAAGGCTTTCATTACGGAGAGGAATAAAGACTGGAAGGTGTGTTGTTAGCCTTGACAGCTTCTTTTGTTATAAGGACAAATTAATATGCATGTACCACAGTTTTTCTAATTAAAGAAAATAAGTTGACTATTTTATTTAATTTCTTACCTTAGTCAGTTATAACATTTAAACTGATACACATTATACATATTCAGTATACCTGGTAATTTATATATATGTCCTACTATTGTCGAGATGTGCTCTTCAGGTGTAGAAATGCTTTTTCTCGGCACCCATTTTTGTAGCATGGTTGGATATGCATCAATTGTTACATAAGAACATAAGAACAAAGGTAACAGCAGAAGGCCTATTGGCCCATACAAGGCAACTCCTATTTGTAACCTCCCAATCCCACTCGTATAAATGTCCAATCCACGATTGAAACAATCTAGGGACCCCACCCTCGCCAAGTTATACCGTTGTCTAGTTGTTAACTGTTGTCATTATCCTAACTGCAGGCAATGCAGTTATCTGGATTTTGCAATAAAATGCCATTTGGTTCATTACCATATTTGGGTAATCAAATATGAACTGTTTATAGTTTTTAGGTTTTCTGCAAATTATAACACAAAACTGCTAGACAGACTCGGTCTTAATTTGGCCATTTATTTGGCTGCATGCATCTCGATTCAACATCAGATGGGTTCCGGAGCAGCACGATCCACCGTCAGATGGGTCTCGTAGTAGCTCAATCCACCATCAGATGGATCTCGTAGTGGCTCGATCCACCATCAGATGGGTCTCGTAGTGGCTCGATCCACCATCAGATGGGTCTCGTAGTAGCTCAATCCACCATCAGATGGGTCTCGTAGTGGCTCGATCCAACTTCAGATGGATCCCAGAGCAGCTCGATCCAACTTCAAATGGGTCCCAGAGCAATTTGATCCAGTATCAGCTAAAAGGTCGATCCAAGCTGTTAGGATAATCCAGAGGTATCTGCAAGAAACTCATTGTACGGTATTTTAATGGTATACAAAACAATCAAGAAAACATTGGAGTGCTGAATTACCTATTATCATTAACAAGATTTTTTAAAAAGACCTTACCTGGAGAAGGAATTATTGTAGATGTCTTGGAATTGTTTGTGAGGTACATTTTAGCTCAGAATATTCATGCTTAATGCTAAGAGCAAGTGATGGCAGTATTTCCTACCTTTGTGATGAAGCAATCTACTTCTAATCTTCCTGAGGATCCTAATTGTCAGCATTTTTATTGGATCTGTGGTACATGAATGTGCTTAAATAATCTTTCATACTGGATAAAATGTTTTAGTGGATAACAAGTTCTTTTGAAAGAGGCAGTAAGGTGGAAGGGAAGGGTATGGCATCTGTTTTATAACATTGTTTAAATTATCTATTTTATATTCCCACACGTTGGTCTGTGCTTATATGTTATATGTTTAAGGGAGCCGAGCGGACAGCACGCTGGACTTGTGATCCTGTGGTCCCGGGTTCGATCCCGGGCGCCAGCGAGAAACAATGGGCAGAGTTTCTTTCACCCTATGCCCCTGTTACCTAGCAGCAAAATAGGTACCTGGGTGTTAGTCAGCTGTCACGGGCTGCTTCCTGGGGGTGGAGGCCTGGTCGAGGACCGGGCCGCGGGGACACTAAAGCCCCGAAATCATCTCAAGATAACCTCAAGATAACCTCCCCTGCCCTTTGCATGAAAGTCCTAATTTTCTTAGTTTTGGCTGTTGTCGCACGAGTTGGGTCTAAGACGAGCAAATTTCCACCAACCCATGGTCGTCGCCATTCTTTAAGTAATCCCATCCCAACCTAACCTGCCAAAATAAGATATAAAATGTTGTGTATATATATATATATATATATTATATATATATATATATATATATATATATATATATATATATATATATATATATATATATATATATATATATATATAACAATCAAATAACATTGCCATAAATATTCATGTCAAATTCAGTGATGTGAACATTCTTAAGGAATACGAACAGTATTCCGTGAAGCATAGGATAAGTCTTGTGTAGTGGAATATGGCAACTTAATCAGGGCCAGACACGACAAAAACTAGAACCTCAAAATTGTATAGAGAAAAAAAAAACGTAGCATGCATAAGAAGACAAGCAGGAATAAGGAACAAGACACCTCTACCCTACAGTTAGGTAAGTGCCATATTAAAGCAGCACAAAAGCTCTACTCTGTCTCTCAAGGTTCTTGGCCATATTTGGTAACGGTCCACCACACACAGGCTTCCGTGCAGGTGTGGGGGCAGCGTGGTTGGCATATGTGGCATGTGTGTAGCTAGTGTAGGCAGCAGGGCGCCCCTCGCTCCGGGCCACGTCTGGAAACGTGGTTACTGCTGGATTTGCTTACTCAAACCCATCACTATTCTAGTTGCATTGCGAATGTATTGCTGTATTTTATATACAATGTGGCTTCAATTTGAGTTCATAAATTCATTGGGAGATTCTGTACAGTTCCTACGCATATGTAGCTTAGAGTTGGTTCATTGCTATGCTTGTATGGCAGCAAGGACGCCAGAGGTTACTGAGCTGCACAAACTATATTGGACTTGTTGTAAACAAACCTTGTTCGCATACGGCGGATTGTAAGCACCCTGATCAAATGAACAAATCCACAAGGTGTGGATTTGTTCCACAAATCCTGATGATAAATGGAAGGGGTTTTAAACGGACAGGCCCTGTCATAAACGGGTTCTAAACAGACAGGCCCTGTCATGGACGGGTTCTAAACACAGGCCCTGTCATGGACACCGTCTACGAGATGGGTAAGGGGGTGCATAATAAATGGTTAAGTAATCATAGACGGGTTGTAAGCAGACTGATGGCCTGGCCACTGACGACCAGGTTGTAGACAGACAGACATACACCCTGACCACAGACAGACAGACAGACAGACAGACGCTGACAGTAGTGGTACATAAACCTTTAAGCGTCACGCCACACCTCCAGTATCAGCGTATTTCTTTTGTTTTAATGAACGCGGACGATTTGCCAAAATGTAATATTTCTCTTCGTCTTGGGTTTGTATTCTCCTTGTAGCCTCCTCTTTACTTGTTCACCCCATCCCCTTTCTTTTACAAAATAGTGTAAACATTGGTAATTTTGTAAACCTAATATTATTCCTCATCTTATCTCTCCCTCTTTCATTATCTCCACCACACGTTATCTCTACCCTTCTCTCCAGCAAGCTATCAGTCCATCATTATTTCCAACTTTACCCATGTACATTATACAGCTATAGCCTTTAACTACAGGCTATTCATTCTTTACGGGCTATTCATGACCATGCCACCTCTTGGGTGGCTGAATCATCATCAATCATCAACTTTTAACTGGGTATCCTGACTTCTCCCCAGCCGCTGCCCCTCTCCCCATCTCCCACTAAGGGACCCCTCCCCCTCTCAACCCCCTTTTTCAACTTGTTCCATCTTCTTTTCTTATTAACATCTTTCTTCTGTCTCCAGATAGTCACGTTGCAGCCTCGTCCCGAGCATGCTTCTCCTCACCCCTATACTCATGCAATATTCTATACTTGTTCTAGCTCATACAATATTCTACATCTTCAGTTTTATCATTATTTTTTACCTTTTATTAACGCATTCTCATCCTACCTCAATCGCTCCTTGTTTATTTATCATCTATAAATGTCTCCTGCATTGTACTTCGTCTGTCCCATATCGACGAATAGGGACAGACAAGCCCTCTGTGGTGTGAGGGACCTTGGAGATAATTAACCAAAAAGAATCTCTCGGTAGTAATTCCTAGTCAAGGTATTTAATAGCAATTATCCTCGCCAGAACGATAATTTGCCTCGCTAACAACGGTGTGAGTGAGTGATCCAATAGTTGTCAGGTATGCAAGGTCGCAGATATTTATTGAACCATACGGAGGTGGCAACACATATTTTAAGTTACCTGTCTTCGTTATCTTTTGAAATTAGATTTTTTGTTTAAATTGCCAATCTGTTAGGAACTTATGTTAAGAACTTAAGATGCATCTGCAACTTATTCAAGCCGTGCCCGAGCAAGCATAAGCCAGGTGAGAGCGAGAACAAGCCGGGTCCAAGCAAGAACAAGCCGAGCCCAAGCAAGAACAAACCGAACCCAAGGTAGCACAAGCCGAGCCCAAGCCAGCACAAGCCGGGTCCAAGCAAGAACAAGCCGAGCCCAAGGCAGCACAAGCCGGGCCCAAGCAAGCACAAGCTGAGCGCAAGCAAGAACAAGCCGAGCCCAAGGCAGCACACGCCAGGCCCAAGCCAGCATAAGCCAAGTCCAAGCCAGCACACTCCGTGCAGGAGTAAACACACCCAGGGCCCCCAAGCAAGCATTGACCTCAATGATCCCGTTACCCCAACGTTGCCAGAGCTGCCGCTGCTCTTCCTGGCAAGAACCTGGAGAAAAACACAACAGCAAGGACGAGTCATCATCACCACACAACCGCTCACGGCCACCGCTATGCTGTTTAGCCCCTACACCGTCGCCCTTCAAGCAGGTCGGCGTTCAATCCCCGACCGTCCACAAGTGGTTGGGAACCATTCCTTCCCCCCACCCCCTCGTCCCATCCCGAATCCTTATCCTGACCCCTTCCCAGTGCTATATAGTCGTAATGGCTTGGCGCTTATCCATAAAAATTCATTCATTACGACCGTCTTTGAGTCTAAATTATGGAATTAGTGTACTTGAGTGTAGACAAACGTATCAGAGACGCTGGTGCTCCGTGCCCAAGTAAATTATTTTCTGTGTAAAAATACGGATATATATATAATGTTTTACGACGACGTTTCGGCCCGTCCATTATCAAGCTGATTGTCTTAGACTTGATAATAGATCAGGATTTGTCTTGACTTTATTGATTGTCGATTGACACTCCAGGATTGTCTTGATTGATTGCCGATTGACAATCGACTTGATATTGGTCCAGGGCGGACCGAAGCGTCGTCGTCTCACCATCTTCTAGCGTGTGGTTTGGTTATAATTCTTCAGCCACGTTATTGTGACTCATCGTCTACACACGGATATATATATATGATGGAGAAACTGCGTCTCCGCCAGTGTTCTGTCGCGCCTGCGCACAAGGCCCA